GCGGGGGGGGGATGGAAGAAAAACATTCGGAGTGAAAAGAGACAACGCGGCGGCGGAGGCCGGGAGGGATGGGATGTGGTGGTTGCGGAGGGGAAAAGAAGTTGCGGGGGCATTTTCCGTATTGTACGACAGGGGGGTTTTGTTTGGAAGGGAGGGTTCTTCCGGGGGGGGTGGCAAAGGGGGAAAGGCGGGGTAATTCCCTTGTGGTGTGTGCGTGTGTATGTATGCATATGTGCGTATTTGCGGTTGGGAGGAGACGGGTTGCACACTAAGACGAGGAGGAGGACGGGAGGAGATTTCAGTGTTGTGAAGAGCACAAGATGTGGAGGAGTTGTAAAAGTAGCAGGAGGACGGGAGGGAGGGCTGTATGTTTTTTTGAAGGTCAATAACTTGTTGTTGTTGTTGGTTTTGTTGTTGTTGATGGTTGTGGCGCCGCCAGGGGTATGTGTGTGTGTGTGTGTGTTTTGGCCCCCGCCCCGGCCCCCGCCCCCGCTGGCTCCCCTGATTGGTTCAGCACCAGTCGCCCTCACTAACTCGCATGCGTGTGTGTGTGGGGGGGTGGCGGCAAGGGACGACGTTGATGACGTCAACATGGTCATTGCCGTACGATGACGACGACGGCGACGACGACGATGGTGGTGGTGGTGGTGGTGACGAAGGATTGTGGTTTTGTGCGGTTGGGGGTTGTCACGTGAGGGGGAATGACCGTTAGTGGTGGTTGCGGTTGATGGCGGCCCCCCCCCCCTGGTGCGGGAGAGGAGAGCTGTTCGGCTTCGCAGCTGCCGCCCCTGAACGGCGACACATACACATACACACACACCAACCCCCAGTACGGGGAGGAGGGTAATAGCCACCGAGAATTACCTCTCCTCCCAATACACACACACGTACGCGCTATTTCGGCACCACACGCCACTACCATATATGAGCAACGATATAAAGCCGTTTCCTTTCCTACGAAACGTTTGTATGTATGCATGTACGTGTCCAGGTGGCTCCGGGCCCCCCTTGCGGTTGCGTATGTTTGTATGTTAATCTGTCTCTGTATGTTTGTATGTGTATCTGTATGTAGGTCTGAACGCGTGCGTTTTGTGAGTTTCTTTCCGTGCCGCGCAGAGGTAGGCAGTTGGTGGTTGTTTTTGGCCGCTGCTTTCCGTTTTACGTTACCTAGGTTTCAGCTACCGGCTGGTTAGTGCCGCTGCTCTTCACTTTCTCTTTGGTGTGCTTGCTCTGCTGCTGTCCCGTACTAGGACGTAAATTTACATTTTTTCCGAAATCTAGAGGAAAAAAGTGTGTGTGTGAGAGAGAGATGATGATAAATTGTTCGCTTAAGAGCTCTGCCGTGGGGGCGTGTTGGGGCTGTACGCCTTCTCATGGGAGGCCGGCGCAGCCTGCGAAGTCCTTTCTGTTGTACGATACGTGTGTACGGCACATGCCGTAAATTGCCGTACCCGAGGATGTTAAANCTTGCCCCCTCGTGCCCGCGGTTTGAGACCACGCCTCGATGGGGTGGGGGGGGTTGTGGTACTTGGGGGCGGGCGGGAGAGGCAGATGGGGAGAGAGAGAGTGAGAGAGTGGAAGATGAAAAAAGAAGAGAGGAGGAGAGAGACGTTTAGAAAGAGGTCAAAAGAGGACACAACCGGGGGGTGGGGTGGGGGGTGAAGGGCCGCTGAGAGAGTTGATTTGCGCGCCGGATTATATCTTTGAAAGGCTTTTGAGAGGAGACGACACGACAGGATCGAGTATTTCGGTGTCAGAGCTGGAGTTTGAGTCGGCGCCTTGCAACAGAAGGCTTGAAACTGTCTGTCTGTTTCTGTCTGTCAGTCTGTCTAGGTGTGTCTAGGTTTGTCGTTGTATGTGTATGGTGCGATGTGTCGATCGGTTTAGATGTTTGGTTGTCTGTCTGCTCGGTTGGTTGGTTGGTTGGTTGGTTGGAGGTTCGAACTTTCTGTCCGTGTTTTTGTCTCGTATGTTCTTTGCAACCCCCGTGTTGAGTTAGTGGGGGGTATGCCGGGAAACCACCGCGGCTTGTGCGGCTCGTGTTGGCTCGATGTGTGTGTTCTGTTCGCTCCGTTCCGGCGTGCTGATGTATGTATGCAGTACTTCCATAGTTGATGATGTATGCGCTTGTGTAAATGTATGTATGAATGTATGTATGTATGTGCATATGTCTCGTTGCTCAATGCTGTTGTGCGGCAGTCTCTAGCATATGTGTGTGTGTGTGTTTGGTGGTTCATGATATGCGAATGCGCGGTATGTGCTCGAAGTTTGAGAGGGGTGTGTTTGCGGCTGTCGTACGGTCCTTTTTCAAGTCCCCAACCACCTACTCAGCCAAGCTTCGAAGAACATCTCCACATTGCTTGGGATTTACGTTATTGATGTCGTACAGTCGTACATGCAGAGACGGGCTGGCGCCTTAAAGGGGATTATGTTAAAACCCAGGGAAGCGTCGAATCGAAGGTCATGTGGGTATGTGGGCTATGAGCCTGCCTTGTTGAGATGGCAGGCGATTTGCCGTACATATTCTTGGAGGGCATACTTTGGCTGATAGTGAGACGATTCTGCTTTCCGTACTGTACGAGCATGTTCCTCGGGAGTCTGGTCAGTTGTCGGTCGGTTTGCTAAAACTTTGCACACTTTTTTTCTTTCATACTCATCAACACGTATATTAATAATATACACAACATATACCTTTTGCATGTATGAAGAACTGTTATAGAGAGACACCGTTGTACGGCATCGCGCCCCCAAGTCTCAGTCAGGCTTGTGTGGTTGCGATAACCACGTCACATCAAAAGACAATTCTATGCGCAACGTTTTTGAATGCTTTTATGAATACGTCTGATCTTAAGTCCGAGCTCCCCCATGTAATGATTCACTTACATTTCATCTCCACAATATCTTTTAGTGCTAATTCCCTAGGATATACCCAGTTGTCGTACACGCGCACGTTTCGCAGCCGATCAAAAGCGAACCTTTCATCAACTTCTCGTAAAACACATTTTCGCGCACCGGCTGGCGATCATAGACAGAGGCAGACACTGTTTTCTTTACATTGCGCTGGCCCCCGTCCAATCCAAACTGGATTCCAAACTAGCCTACGGTTAGTACGACATTGCATCGTACAGTACGATACACGATACGATGCGAGACAAGTTGAGCTGGAAGTTTAGCTGCACCGTCTCCCGCCGCCTCCGTGAGCCGCCGGGTACCGTTCTAAGGGCGGCCTCCGGTGGCGTGGACATACATACATGCACATACACACACACTCCCCCTCTCCTTCCCCCTCTTAACGCCGCCTCACCATTATCCTGGTACACACACATAAATACATACATCTACATCGTACCCTAAGACATCAGTCCACTGATTGGCAGTCCGGCGCGCTTCTGTCTTCTGCTCTTTTCCCTGTGGGCGGCCCACCGAGACAAGTGGCGATGCAGCGCGATGCCCAGGACCGCGTTGACTCCCACAAACGTGTCATCGGAATACCCCCGCGCACATACACACACACACGGCTAAATCCACCTCACCGGCCCCCCCGCCCGCCACCACGACCTCCCCGCCCTCCGCGACCCCGGCTGCTGCTGGCCCCCCTCCCCCGCCCCTCCCAGCCCCCACCGCGCCCTCCTCCTCCCTTCTTCCCCCTGCCGCCGCCGCCGCCACCACCACCTCGCCCGCCACCACCACCACCACCACCTCGCCCGCCGCCACCACCACCACCGCCACCACCACCACGCCGGGGTACTCTGCCCCCTCCCCTGCCCCCTCCTCGCCCCTGCACCCGCTTCCCCTGGGCCCCCTGATACCCCTCTTCAGCGGCGCTGTCATCACTGTCACCTTCTACTAGCCCCTTGGTGCTGCGACCACCACCACCACCACCACCACTACCACCACCACCATCATCGTCGTCGTCGTCATCATCGCTGCCTCCACTCTCCTCCATCTCCTCCCCGTCGCTATCACCCTCAATGACGTCATCCTCGTCGTAATCGTCACTGGGCACGTAGTCCTCCAGCAACACGTCGCCCTCATCCCCCTCCAGGTCACCGCCGCCGCCGCCTTCATCCGCACCTCCGCCCCGCTGACGCTTAGACGCCTTCTTGCCGCTCTTCACCTCGCCACCCGCACCCTCCTCCAACTCCTCGTCGCTGCTACCGCCGCCGTCGCCGTTGGCCGCAGCCGCCGCCGCCAACTCGATGTCGTCGTCGTCACTGTCCTCTTCATCCTCATCCTCCGCCTCCCGTCGAGCTCGTTTCCGGTCGCCGCCGCCGCTGCCCCCCAGATTCACATCTTCAGCTCGCCGCGCCGCCGCCCTCCGCGCTGCCCGTGTCGCCATGGCCGCCGCCAACTGCTGCAGCGGGGAACGACCCGCCTCGCGCTCGGTGCGGAGAAAGGCCTGGAGAGGAGATGGAGAGGGAAAGGCGTTATGTGTATGTGGGAGGAAGGAGTACAGATCTCCTCATGTCGTACACCTCTCCGTCAATTCTTCGCCATTACCGTACTTCCGCCCCCAACCTCCCTACCCCCCGGGGCCCCCTCCTGCCGACACCTACCTGCACCTTGGCCGTGTCCTTGGGACCGAAGTCGACTCGGTCTCTCGCCACGCCCACCCAGGCGACATTGCGTTGTACGGCGTCTTGCAGCTGCTTGGCCGCACGCCTTTAATTAGTTCACACCAGCAGGGGCCGGGGCCGGGGGGGAGAGGGGGGAGAGGGGGGGAAGAGGGGAGATTAAGTAAGTGGGTATTTTCCCCCTCCGAGAAGAAGTCGAGAAAACATGGAGGAGATGTCATGTACAGTTGGAAATCATAAACAGACCTGGAGATGTCTATCTGTCTGCTTGTCTGTCTGTCTGTCTGTCTGTTATGTCTAAATAGAATCCCTCGACGGCGGTAAGAAGGTGGAGGCATCGCGAGGGCGGCTGACGGTGGTTACCCAGGGGGCCCTGGGGGGCTACCCACTCCGGGAATGTCGCCGCCGCTGGAGGTCCGGATGGATGGATGGGTGGATGGATGCGGATTCCACTGAATGCAGGCGCTGGCGGTCACTGACTTCACAGAACTCGCCACCCCCCCCACTGGTGGTTGCTGCGGGGAGAGGGATGTGCGGGTGGTGGGGCTCCCCCCCCGGGGGAACACGGGGGACGGCAGGGAGGGGCTCTGCCAGCAGAGGCTAGTTGCGGCCACATACACACACACGCGGGTGCGGCAATAGCTATAACCCGCTTCCATTCACACAACCTCCCCCCCCAACCCCCGACATCACACCACCTCCCCCCCACCCCCCACCCCCCGACACGCACTTAAATCTCTCCACCCGGCAGCCCTTGATGAAGCGGCGCAGGTGCAGCAGCGGAACGTGCGCCAGCTCGGGAAAGGCGATGGAGCAGGACCAAGTCGCCAAATGGTCACACAGCAGCTCCAAAATCTGCATGTATGTAATTATATTTATATGTATGTATGTATGTATGTTTGCATGTATGTGCGAGGATGTGTCGAGTGAGTCGGACAACAAAGGAATAAAAAGGCAACAACAAACGTATGTATGTATGTATGTATGTATGTATTTATGTATGACTTAGATTACACTTGTGGGCCGCGAGAGCCGGGGGCCGAAGCCGAAACACAGCGCACAAGTCGGTTAGTCTTGTGTGCTCCCGACCCCGACTCATGTATGTATATATGTACGTATGTATGCACGTATGTATGTATGCACGTATGTACTACGTATGTATGCCTCCGAAGGTCAACTAACGACATCAATGGCCAGAGAAAGCCGTGGCAGTAGCATACATACATACACACACCAACACCTGCAACACCCTCCCCCCCATCAACCCATTCCCCCCCCGCCCCCACCTGGGTAACCACCTCCTCCTGACACGGGGGGGACCGCAGCAGCTGCTTCCCCAACTTGAGCTGGAGGGACAGATCCGGACAGCCGCCCGCCACCGCCGCCGCTCCCCCTCCCCCGCCCGTACCCCCCCTCCCCCCTCCACCTCCGCCCCCCGGGGAGCGCCGCAAATCCCCCCACTCCAGGGCCTCCAGCGCCAGGGGGGCCACCGGCACGAACACACCGGTCTGGGTGGCAAGCCTGCCAAAGGTTAGGGGGAGAAAGAGGGGGGAGGGGTGTGATGGGGGGAAATGACGGGAGAAGAGGGGGAGGGGAGGGGTGTGATGGAGGGAGCAGAGAGACGGGTGAAGTGCAGTGAGAGAGGGGTACGAAGAAGCCCAGAGAGACGACTGAAAGCGGAAGAGAGGGGGAGAAGGTCCGGGGGAAGAGGGGGGAGAACCACCAACACCACCCCTCCCTCCCTCCC